CCGTTGCGTGACGCTCTTTGGAAGTTGTGGAAGTGATTAAAGCCGAATGGTAAAACCCAATGGGATCCCCTGTGAATTAAAGTATCCACATCAATTCCAAACAACGCGCAGATTGTCACGTTTGCATCACATTACGCAATATTGCCTTATTGTATGCTATCACATGAACCAATTTTCACTAGCTAGCTGGCTAATATATAGGCTGCATGGTTAAAGTTAGGGTTAGTTTTTTCAGGTTAGAGCAACAGCCCCTCAGAATGTCCATCCCTGCACATCCATGCAATGAGCTGAATGGAAATATAAATGGAAAAAGCAATTACTCATTAGAATGCCAATATTTTAAGGCGATTGTAATAATCTATAGTAAAATGGTTTTAGCTTCATACCACCCACTGTTCACACATTGAGATTTCTGGAACAACTTACCCCTACTTCCAAGGTGCATGGAGAGGGAAATGGTCTCATTTGCTTATGTAGGTCATATAGAGGCATCAGTATTAAACTGAGACTGTTTTATAATCAGTTAATATCCTTGTACTACATTTAAGTAAAAGATGTGAGTACTTTTTCCACTACATTCATATATATATGTTTTCAGGAGGTATAATGCACATACAGTAAAAGCAAACTGTTTTTTCAGGGTTATTCCATCCAGTTCAGTAGGTGGGAAGCTCCAGTCCCCACACATTAGACTTAGGAGGCAGCTGGCAAAGAAAAACAGTAATATGTAATGCTGAAAGCTACCAGCACATAAATGCACCTTCACTTAAGGTTAAATGTTGTAGCTTATGGTTAAAATGTGACATAAAAAGTAGAAAAAAGAGTGGGAAAGAGAACTGCCGTATTCTTTGAGAAATGTAAGGCTATTTGTAACATGACAAAAAAAACCCAGTATGGTTCCTTACAGGTTTTCTTATCTTTTATCTCAAAGACGGTGATGTCTCTCCAGTCTCTCCTCACCATACTGGGAATATCTGACAATATCTTAAGCCCCTTACGGCGGCAAATCAAATTAAAGTTTACGTTTTTAAGTTCAATTCAAACAAACAAGATCTTAATCAAGTATTTGTGACAACTTACTCTATCACCTTCAATTCCCATATGCTTAATAATGTTAAAATATTTGTGACATGGGTAGGAGCTGAGGAAAAACAGAAAATAAAAGGAGAATAAGGAGCTCTCTAGAGCCACAACTCTCAATTGTCTAAACAAACACCCCCTTAATGTGAAGTCCATGATTTCTGTTACCGCAGCATGAAGTGTCAGCTTCAATCTGCACATATGCTGCACTAGAGCAGCTGGGCTGTAGTCACCAGGCATGAATGCAAACAAAAGACCAACTAAGTGACAACAGGAGTGATGATTAAATTCATTAGGGAAATGTCTCCCTCTAATGCTCGGCACTTTGACATGAAGAAGCACATGAAAATGCCCTGCAGCTGCACATTCACAAGAAGTGCTTTACTGTATAAGCATTATTTTACAGCAGATCAAACGCATCTGACTGCCTGCATGTTGGCTCCTCCTACCTTCTGTTTTGCATTTATTTATTTATTTGCTGTGTTTCCTGTGCACCCGGCTCATTCTGCTGGTGAAGGTGAGTGAATGAAGCCATGAGGGAGAGTTTTCTGGAAAGGAACCAAGCTCTAGTTTTCTTCACACAGCATACATGGAGATGAGAGTTATGCAGAGACACCACAGAGGGTTTAAGGCTAAATCCCAAGTTATTTTCCACTTAATTTTTGAACTTCAATTGCCTTCCATCAAAGCTATTCCATGAGAACGAGTTCTGAACAGGAATTGATCCCCTCTCTGTTATTTCACTATGTGGAGTTGAATAAAATATTCCTCCCACCGCTCTCTCATAATTTCCCTTGCAAAACAACAACTTTCTAGCATTCTCTGGGAGCCTTCTGTGCACGTTGAGTTTCTCCCTAAGGTAAAACTGGCCTACTTCTGAGTGCATCCTCAGCATCCATCTGCCGTACCAGTAAATTGCATTTGCCTGCGATCGCAGGTTATCTCATCTGTCAAAGCAGGCCTATCAATTTCAGCAAGCCGCCTCGACAGAAGGCATTAACCCTCCAGCGTCATTCTGGCATCAAGCATTGACAGACAATAACGGCTAGTGATATCAACATATCAGATGAGCACTGTTGACAGTTCTGTTGTGGCTGTTAGCAATGACAGACTAAAGACCTGAATAACAATGAATACAAACGGAATAAAGAGGATTTAAACGCTTCCTTATCGTGTTGTTCTTTACCTAGAATAGCATGATTATCTAGTTCAAAGGGACAACAGGCCACATTTAGCAAGCCACAAGCCAAAATAAAAGGTGAAGCTAATAAAACGTTTCGATTGGACTGCTTGCTAACAAGTAATTAAACTAAGGATTTAGTTGAATTTAAACCTTTGTAAGTTCTGTATAGCGCCATTGTAGGGATAGAATATTAATTTAAAAAATCAGTATGCATGTTCTACAGTAAAGCTGATGTGTTTTTCAGTATACGGAGAACTACTGAATTCACTGGCAAATGATTTTAAAGAGATAGTCTGGCAACTAAAAAAATTGGGGTTTAATGGTTGAAATGGTCTGAAAAACGGTCACAATCAAAGCAACAGAGGTCAAGATATAATGCCCTTTAATCTAGCATCTTTGATAAGGGGGTAAATGCCCATGTCTTTCAAACGCCACGCCTCCTTTTGTGAAAGCCACTTTCTGCTATAAATCTGTAGTCTGGTGATGTCATCATAACCCTGATGACATCACCAGGGTTATTTTCTCCAACTTCATAAACATACATCTGTTTTCATGGGCTGAGTAGTGCTACTCATGACGAGTAAACTGAACTTGTCAGGGTGACTGTAACTTCACGTAATTCTTATTAAACTTTTAATCAATTTAAAAGGCCCTGACAGCTAGTTTCTCTATCAGGTTTTACTGTGTATGACTGAGTCTTACAAAGATACATCAGGTTAGTTTTTTTCCATATTAGAAATTTCTGTATTTTTGGCAGTTTTTGCCTGGTCTGACTAGTTAGCAGTGGGCGGGACTGGGGCTAGAACAATTTTATGTTGTGTATTTCTTTGCACCAACTAGGATTTAACTTCAATTGAAGCAGAGTCTGATGAACGCTGGCGGGTTGTTTGGTCGCTGTGAATCAAACCACATCCACACAGTCCCAATGGAATAGATTACATGAGTTTGAGTCTTAAACCATGAAAAATAAATACTAAAAGATGCTGTTTATTTATTTTTTTCTATATTGTTGAGTACTCAGTGAAAGGGTTTGCAAGTAGTGATGAATTATCAGCTAAATGTGCCACTCCCGCTGGCTGTACTGACTTTACAATGTGTTTCAGATCATTGTCCGGCCACAACTTGACTGTTTTGCTTCACTGTTTTAAGTGTAAAATTTCCAAAAACCCTCTGTGTACTAGCGGAGCCTTCAGCAGCTGAAGAACTAGATGTTTTTCTCAGGAGTTGGAGGAGACCAAAACGGAGGTAACAGAGAGTGAACATTGGACTTGGGCATTAGAAATTTGCCAGGTGGACAGAAACAGAACCCCACATGAATGATATTGTTGCTCCAAAACAGCGGGTGTGTGAATAAGCGACTGTTTGCCAACACGTTCGCTATATCTACTTAAAAGATGATATGTCAATGCTGTGTTCACAACTTGTTTCTGCTGCCCCCAAGTGTCCAAAAATAAAAAATAAAATCAATTACTGCAGGGACAATACTAACTTCTAAAGTAATGTATTCATGTTGAGTTCTGCACTGATACTGTAAATAATATAAAAAAGAAAAGCTATTAGATGAGCTGTCTTGTTCCATCCACAGACTTTCATCGTAGTCTTGCAGAGTGACACAGACTGAAATAATTTACAGTGACTATGGCAATAAATAGTAAGGCTTGGATATAGAGAGCACTTGTCAGTGAGTCATTTTGCTTCAGAATAATTCTGTTTTCATGAATAAAAGCTGTTGAATCGCCTCAATAAACTGCAGGTCTATGCTCAGGAAGGCCTCCACTCTCTGTGTTCTTTTTAGGAGAATACCATCCATTCACATGTCAATAAATGCCCCATTGTGGGAGTCCAATCGTTGCCTCCTACTGCAGTTTTACACTTCCCTGCGCTGTCCATGGTGCTGAACAGCCTTCTCTCTCTCTCTACCTCCACACTCGGGTTTCTTACTGCCACAAGAGGGTGGTGATTACAGTGGGTGGTGGCGTTACACTGCTGCCCATGGTGCCTCATGGCGGCCATCGATCCCTTAACCAGACGCGCACACGCACGCACACAGCCCAAAATTCAGGACGTGAAGGGACTGATAGAATGACCAGCAGTCACACGCAGCAGTCCATTCGTGCAACTTAAAGGGAGTTTAATAAACGTCTCAGCCTGCTTTAAACACAAGGGAACATTTTGGAAAGAGTAGCCTAATCTTTCTCTCCCTCCTTTCTCCCCCCTCACACACACACACACACACACACACACACACACACACACACACACACACACACACACGTTGGCAGACCCACAGAACACGCACGTTTATACACACTCGGGATTAGTATGCGTCGGGCACAACCCCTCAGCTCTCCGTGCAACGCTGCAACCTTTCCCCACATATGTAACATTAGAGAATGAGAACAGCAGTCACAGCTCCACTGCGCTGTACAGATTTTCTCCGATCAGGTTACTTTTCTGTGCATACCTGAAATTGTCCAGGATTCAGCCCATTGACACCCCGGGTGTTATTACAGGCAGTATAACGCCCAGAGCTTTAAGTGTGATAACCTCAGAAACAATATTCCGGCGTTTAAATCTAATTCGGTGCGTTAGAATTTGCAGACAACCTAGTTGAAGGTGAACTGTGACCGACAGATACAGAGGAACAAGCAACATAATAAACTAACTGCTAATCTGTAGAGGAGTGCACGGCAGTCACAACTCTCGCTTGTATCCGAATATTAAGGTTATTTCTTACCTTCAGAGACGGACAAGTATCCATTGTGGGCCACCGCGGGCTCTGTACAGTATATTCTGTTTCCCTGGTTCGAGGCTACAGCCGCTCCCTTCCCATTCATCCACTAATTCCAGGAGAAGAACTGCAACACCAGCTGCCTACCGAGCCGCATATCGCTTCTTATTCTTCTTCTTCTCTCGCACTTCTCTTTTCCTTGACTAAATGTTTCCCCCCACCAGCAGATGCTCTGGAAACCTGCGCTTGTGCCGGCAGTCAAACTGCGACGAAGAGCTTCACAGCATTTTTGTAGTTTCCCCCCCTTTAAGTAAAAATAACCAGCTCGCTGCTGTGTGGGCTCGTCTCTGTATTTCCAGGCGGGTTTTCAGAGAGTGTTGCTACATGGCAAAGGCGTTTTTCTATTTTTCCTCCCCGCGGTGATGTATAGTTACTTGCCAGTGAAAACACAATATGTCCTTGTAATTGCCTGCTTCTCTTCGCGCATCCAAGCCGAAAGTTAAAAAATAAAAGAAAATAAAATTGGTGAGATCAGTACATCCAAAAGAAAGTTTCTCGTTTGTTCTCAATGATTCAGGAGTTACTCGTTTGTCCGAGAGGCAGGAGAAGGAGAGGTGCGACGGAGTCTCTGCGCTAGAAAGACTGCAATGGAGCGGCGGATAACCCTAGATGGCACACACACCATGAAGTATCACAGAGCCCACCGGGAGGAGAGACAGAGGGGACAGAGGGGGCGGGCGGGTCAGCCAGAACTACTGCGCCTTTACGCAAACAAACACCGGAGCGAGACTGTAGATGATTACGCGCAAAGAGCCACTTTGGCACGGTCCGCTGCGAGCGTCGTGTTGTCTGCAGGAGATTAAGGACCGACCACGGATTAGTGTGCTCTTAGCAGGTGTTCAGCGTTCACACCAACAACAAAGTAGCCTATCAGGACAGTGGGCAACCTTGGTCTTATCGTCGCCAGTCCTTTAAAAGTAAAGTCGCTGCGTGCGTTGCAGAAAGATCTATAGAAGCTTGCTTGTTCAATGAAACCAGCTCATTGCATCCGGTTTGACCTTCAAACATCAGGAGAGTTCAGTGTTAGAGCACTGACACAGTAAGAGACACTGTGTGGGTCAATGATTAGGGAACAAATGAATGAAATACTGAATAGTTAACAATTAGATCCTCAGCAACTGAATTCAAGACTATGTAGGTCATGGAGTTACTTACAGGCTGTTTACCGGTGGTGCAACATTCACTCAACTACTTAGTACCATTTTTTGGATATTTAGTTTTTCCATTTTATGCCACTTACTTACTTCTCCATTACACGTAAGAGGGAAATGCTGTACTTCTTAGTGCAGCATATTCGAGCTATATTCAGTAGTTAGCTTTCAGAGTTTTATGAGTAGTTTATAGCAGTGGTTCCAAACCCACGGATTGGGACCCCCACTAGGGGTCGCCAAAGCTTGATGAGGGGGTCGCAAGGCCTTCTTGATTTTAAGGGGCGTAAGAAAACGTTGCTGTGAAGAAAATCAAATTAAACTTAATTAACCAAGTTAAGATTATTATTTAAGGTCTAAACTTTGAAGATCTGAGAACAAGTTATACTCACAGAGCCTTCACTCAGTGGCTAAGGGAGTGGAACACAATGAATCTGTATAAAAGAAAAAGAAATAAAGCCTATTAAAGTATGATTGTTAAAAAAAATCAAAGTACATACACATAATTATTATATAAAGTATTCCTAAAAATTGCTCGCTTTACACAATTTTTTTGCAGTTATTGTGTTCACTGTTTGGGTTCATTGTACAGTTTATCTGTTGTTCTCTACAGTTATTGTTATGCATTGAATATAATGAATATCACATAATAAAATAATGAAAGCGTCAGGGGTCTACAGTGAAGCATGTAGAATAAATTATGATGCCCGCAAAACTTGTGAAAAACTAAAAAAGGCCCAATCTACAGCCAGCGTTTGGTTTGTCCATTCTGGGCTACTGTAGAAACATGGCAGAGAGGTGACCTGCGGTGGCTCTAGATAACAATGGCTCATTCTAAGGAAACGAAAACACAATGATTCCTATATTTAGGTGATTATACACTAAAATATTATACACAGAATTCACAGAATTTTACTTATAATGGAGTATTTTTATAGTCTGTTATTTTTATTTAAAGCAGCAACAAGGAAGTGTAATTTGGTGTTGATTCTGGCGGTCCCTGTGGACAAAAGTGATACTGTTTCCATTGCCTTGTTTAATTGATTTCAAGGGGAATCCAATCGAATCTGACCCAGTGGCGGGCAGTAAGGATAACTATATAGAAATAGTCTGTCACAACACTGGAAACTAAAAAACTGGACCCAAATGTAAGACAGCACAGGATGACTTCAGTGACTTAATGTGATCATGCCACTTACAGGCAGGTGCAAGTTCAGGCAGGCTGACGAACAGATGCAGCTCCAGGCAAAGCAAAAAGCAAAAAACCAACAGGGCAACACAAGTACGAAACAACCAGGAACAAAGTAACCATGGACAAAACAACCAGGATGAACTGACACAGAAACAAGGACACACAAAAACCAAACACACAGGTGAGGGGAGGGATAACCAGAAACAGGTGAAAATAATCAGGGGATCAAAACTGAAAGGAAAACAGACAGAGACAGGAAGTGAATTTAAAGAAGACGAAGGAGAATTACAAAATAAAACAGGGAAATAACTAAAGAAAACAGAAACCAATGACATAGCCAGTCTTCTCACTGATGGTTTGTTTATGTAGGTCATATAGAGGCAACAGTGTTAAACTGACTGTTTCCAGAAATATATTGATTCTGATTTTCTATCTTGATTTCCTTATGGGGGTCCCAACCCCCAGGTGGAGAACAACTGTGTTACATATCAGTATGTAATGATTAGTTCTGATATGTCTGAATCAGGCTATAGCTTTTAATGAGGACACTGAGGACATGTCCTTGGTATTGTCTCTGAGGAATTTGGGGTTTAAGTGTTTTTTTTTTTCAGTTTGTTTTTTTGAAGCTGACTCTACAATATTGACAATATTTCTACATTTGGCTGTTTTAGTAAAAAAGAAAAAAAAAATCACTTTTTGATTTATTTTTTTAAGTGCTTTTGTTTCCTAAACCTCAATAAAACGTTGCCAGGGAATGTAAGGCAGCAATTACTTTCCCATCAACGTGTTATCGGCAAAACAAATTGTGTTACATAATTTCTAGGAGACGAGATTGTTGCTTTTGTATGCAAGTTATTACTCATTAACTGGACTATTTCTAGTGACCTGAGCATATTCTACTGAGTGCTAAAGCTCCTCGGGGAAAGGGACTGTGCACAGGTTTTCTTGTTATTTGTTTTTGATTCTGATTTCCATTGACTCCAGTCACAGTGAATCCATTGATATGTCTTTAGTAGCTGGACATCAGGCAGGATTTTTGTCCTCCAGTGTTCTTGAGCAGAAAAGGATCCCTGGCAGCTGTCTTGTAGCTGCTGAACTCTGTAGGTGGAATGGAAGTCTCTCCCTCCCCTTCCCCTTCTTTTCTTTGCTTTCCCTCTGTTTGTTATTGATGCAGACGGCAGGAGACATGGCTGCTGTGCCTCACTTGCCCACTGTGCCATTGATCTGTGTTTAGATCCTCCTTTCAAATCCACTTAAAGCAACATCCAGAGGGCTAAAATGTCTTATTATTTCAATTACTTCTCCTAAAGATAATACTAGAGATTTCACAAAACAAGCAAAGATAAAAGTGTTGCATAAAATCTGCAGCTCATAGATCACAGCTATAGTGTAAAGGTAGTCTCAACACTGCTGCTCACAAGTCCACTTCAAACTGCTGTCATAGTGCAATTGCTGGTGGAGAAACACTGGGGCTGCTGTCACTTAGCATGACTAGCTTAGCAGTAGTTTAGAACCGTTCTAGCTAAACTGGGTTTGGAAGCAGCTGAGTGCTAAACTGGACCTGATTACTGCGTCAGAACTAGCCCAGGCTCCGCTGGACCATAATGAAACTGTGTCTGAGCCATCCATCGCAGGCGTGTCAGAGAACCTTGACATCATGTAGCGTACTGGGAGTAGGCGTGTCTGATGGCTTACCAGCATGCACTGGTGCAGTGAAATTATCACTGTTATCATTCCATGAAACACGGATAATACATTTATATACAACAATGAATCACCAATGAATTAAATGCTCATTTTTTTCCTATCTGGGTAGAAGATGTCTTTTTTCAGTCAAATGTGTGTCAAATGGCAGAGAGCGAAAATGTGTGTGTGTGGGCACGTGTGTGTCTTCAACACTGTTGAACTGGGAAGAAGTCTAGAAGATGGATGGGATAGAGAGAATAAAGGCAAAGCACAGGAAGAAAACAAAAACAAAAAAACATAGATACAAACAAGATACCATAATATATAGTCTATACCACATTAATAATGTTAATACTAATGCTCCTACTAATGCATCTACCACTGCAGTACCAACACTACTACCACGACTACCAGTAATAAAAATAATGATGATATAGTCATACTGTAATGTTATTTTTACAAAAAAAAGGTGACTGGATCACATACATTTTTAGGTAACAAACATTTTTTTTATTTCAAAAAGATTCTTGATTAAGCTGCTTTTACTAGTAATTTTAAGTGACAGTAACTTTGTTGTGTAAGTAACAGAAACATTCCTGATTAACTTACTGTTTTTTTCACAGCACAAATAAAAATTAAGAAAAAAGTCTGTGTCACTTGAAATCACTAAAGCTACTTGAAGTTTTTTTGACTTACAAAAGTGAGTTAGTTTTACTTATAATTGTCAATGTAATCAGTTTCAACAATTTTCAAAAAGTAAACTAAATGTATGTGGTTTTACAGTGCAGGGAGAGTACTGGTGGCATCTCTGCCCCGGTCACTGGCAGGGCAGCAGGATCGGGGGAGACCATCATAGAGGTGCAGAACAGGCCAGCAGGGTCAGGCCAGCTGGGTAAACACTACTGTTATTTTGCCTTTAGTGATTATTAGTATGAATATCAGGTGCAGTTTAAACCGCAGCTTCTGCACTCAGCAAGACGGTTTCAGTGATCATGTGACCTTGACCCAGACAGAACAAATAACCTATCCTAAACCTTAAACCATAGCTGTGCTACAGCCCAATGTTCACATAATTTGTATCATCAGCACACAGGCTGTACTTCAAAGGTTGCGCTCATTTCACAATATTTGACGAGACTGATGAAAAGGCTAATAAACCACACCGTCTCTTTTTTCATTTTGACACATAGCTGTGGTTGTTGTGACTCTTGTGCATGGCCTTTGAGCTGTAGAGAAGTCATTACAATAATGATTCCAAACAAGGCTTTTAGCTACAGGTAAATTACAGTAAAAGTGCTGTAAGTAGGCTGTAAGTGTCCCTGTGTAAATGGAACCGGAGACAAGGGCTGTTTCATTTAGTTAAAGCACATTTCATTACAAAACTGCCAAACTACACCGTGAACAGGCAGACAGCGGATGAAAAAATACATATACACATAAATGCATTGAGGAAAACATTGAAGGACACGGAAACGACAAAGCCAGACAGTAAACAAGGCACAATCGACTGCCTCACATGTACTCAACGGCAAACATGACAAAGCCATGACTACAAAGGCAAGAAAACAGAAAGAAAGGGTAATGAGATAGAGAAACACAGTGGCAGTAAGTGGGCAGCTGAGACAGCAGTGATTATGGTTTTCAGAGTGGGATACAAACACAGGCAGGGCGGAGGAGTCCAACAGCAGAGATGGAAGTAGTTCAGAGAGACTACGCCACTTTGATACACTCTTTAAAG